ATGAGAAAGTCTGAAAAATAGGAGTACATAAAAACAAACTTTTATATGAAAAAATGCCATAAGCAAAGTTAAAGGACAAATGACAACAGTACTTGAAAGTTTTACCAAAACAATTTTACCAAAATTAATTTTACAAACAATTACCAAATATATAAGGAATTTATATAAAAGATTAGGGAAAAAAATCTATAAAAACATGGACAAGAGATATAAACAAGCAATGCACAGAAAAATACAAATGACCTTAAATATATGAAAAGACACTCAACCTTGTGCATAAGAGAAATACAAATTAAAACTACAATAAATTACCCTTTCTTCTGTATCAGATTAACCAAAAATTAAATGTTTGATAATATACTCTGATGACAAGGCTGTGGGACAACAGGCACTCATATACATTACGGGTAGGAATGCAAAATGATACAACTACTATAGAGGAGAATTTGGTAATATCTAACAACTGATATATGCATTTACCCTTTTATACAACATGACCCTTTTTTTTTTTTTTTTTTTGAGACGGAGTCTTGTTCTGTCACCACGCTGGAGTGAAATGGTGCAATCCTGGATCACGGCAACCTCTGCCTCCCGGGTTCAAGTAATTCTCCTGCCTCAGCCTCCTGAGTAGCTGGGACTACAGGCGTGCACCACTACGCCCAGCTAATTTTTGTATTTTTAGTAAAGATGAGGTTTCACTATGTTGGCCAGGACAGTCTCGATCTCTCAACCTTGTGATCTGCCCAACTCGACCTTCCAAAGTGCTGGGATTACAGGCGTGAGCCATGTGCCCAGCCGCAACTTTTAAGACTCTGTCCCACAAGTTCATTGGCAAAACAACATATACATAGGGATATTCACTGCAGAACTATTTGTAATAGCAGAAAATAACACAGGTATCTATCCAAGGGGACGAGTTAAATATTCATCCACCAATGGAGTATTATGAAACTGTAAAAAGGAACAACAATCTCTACATTTTTCTAGGAGGGGATCTAAGGGAATCACTAGGTGCAAAACATAAGATGGAAAACAGTACACATAACACCACATTTTATCAGAAAGAAAGGTGTGTTTGTCCATGTATATTTGCTTTTAGGTACATGTTTTTTTAAAGGAAGAATAGACCCAAATCTAGTAAAAACAATTATCTGTAAGGAAGAAAAATAAGCAGAGTGGAAGAAACAGAGATGAAAGCTAAATTGTTTTATGGGTACTTGTTTTATGGGAATTATGCTAAGGTTTTGCATATAAAAAAACAAATCAAAATGGGAGAAAAAGCAGTACTGAAAAATCGGAAGCAAAATAAATCAACTACCAACTAGCTATCAATCTGACAGGCTAACTATACAATAAATTACTTCATATGCCTTTAAAATACAATAATTTTACTACACACTTCCCCAGAGACATATAAAATAAGAGTAAAAGAGAATTGCAAAGAAATCCTAAGCACTATTCAGGAATCATATTGATAATAATAAAATGGGCTGCGAACTCGAGACTGTTATATATGACATGGGATGACGAAAAAAACTAACTCTATTAATGGCACTAGGTACCAAGATTTTCAGAAGAAAAGATACAAACATAAATCAAATATGTGGCAAAAAACTGTAAAATTAAGTTTAAACTTTGGAAAATTAAACATTAAATGTTGGAAACAATGGGAACTCTGCATATTTGCTTTTTAATGTATAATATTTTCTAACTCTGGCCACCATAAATCCTAGAACCCATGACTAACCGAATAGCAAGAACACCTCTTCCATCTAGACTGTGGTCTCCAAATACTATCTCAGACTCAAATGAACCAGGACTCTTTGGAGACCAGAAATCTGTAAATCAGCCAGGAAAATTATTTACCAGAAAGCAAGAAAATTACCAAAGCTATTGGTCATATCAAATAGAATAGGAGCCAACTGTAAGGCACTCTCACTGGCCAAAGATGAAACAATTTAAGTATTAACAACACAACTGCCTTATGTTGAAACAGTCAAACTATATTATAAAGTCTATAAGTGCATGAAGATAGGTTTACAAAAAGGCAAAAACCCTCATGGTTACCTTTGGAGGTTGCTAGGCCACCAACTCATTACTGTAGTCTGAAAATAGAGGGAAAGAATTAATCATTTTTCTTGCCTTTCCTGTACAAATTGTATTTCAGTGTAGTCAAACAGCTGATAAGAGAAAGTTCGTCATAAAAGATTCTCAGCTGATAAATATTGAAGAAATAATAGAATTAGATAATCACTACTTTGCAACCCCTAATACAATAACTGATACAGGCAATATAACGCCACAAAAGGACTTCACCATTAAATGAGAGTCTTGGGGAATTTCACTGTGGGTGGACGGAGCCAACTACACCTAAACCCAATATAATGTTTAATCTGAACATCATAAAAGGAGAAACAACTCAGACACTGCTTCCCTGATAATTACACAGGGAGTATACTGCATCACCTGTGAAATTTTCTGCCCACTCCTCCAACTACCCCAAAAACAAAACAAAATAAAGGTGAAATTTGATCAGGCTTCTAGATCAGTGCTGTTCAACAGAACTTTCTGCAATTACGAAAATATTTTATAACTGCACTGTTCAAAGAGTAGTCACTAAGCAATTTGTGGCTACTGAGCACTTAAAATGTGGTTAATGCAAGTTGGGAACCCCTAGTTTAGAAGACATAAAAGCAACATACATACGTGTTAAAGGATACTGTGCAATGCAATCTGCTAAATTTAGAACTGTAAGGAAAAGTAAGGGCTAGTCCCATAGCTATAGCTATGTGGAAACTGTTACAGATTAAAAGATGTCAAATGTGTTATCACCCAAACGTAATAGGCAGATGTGGGATTTTGGTTCAAACAAGCTAACTGTAAGAAGACATTTAGGAGAGAGTTGAAGAATTCAGAATCTGACTGGATATTGACATTAAGGAATTTTTATTAATTTGTATACGTGTAATGACAGTATTGTGGCTTTGTAAAACTGAAAAAAACCTAGCTGAGGGGGGTGGGTGCTAAAATAACATAAAGATCAGAGATTCAGTTCCTGAAACCTTATGTCAATGTTGGCTTTAGCTGAATTTCAAGTCAAGTAGACATTTTTTGAAAGCAGGAAGCTATGACAGAGTGGACTACTGATGCTGTCACCATCTGCCAGCACAACATAAATGAGAACAGAAAGGACTAAGAAAAGGTCTTCCACCTTTTAACGCGAGGAAATGGCATCAGTACAATCAACATAAATAATTTTTACAACTTTTAGATTTGAATCTACATACATTTTTAAAAGGCAGTGTGCCTGTTTATAAATCTCTACCCCATTTTAGTTTCAGAGCCTTTTTTACTACCCTGATCACTGATAACTACAGTCAAAAAGATCAAAATAAAAATTGATCTAAAAATCATACTGCATTCCAAATAATATACACACTTTATTATATCATTAAGCTACAGCTAACAGAAATATAATCAAAGATCCTTATGATTTCCTCTTGTCTAATAAAAGCAATCACATGAGGAACTGTATAAATACAGGGCTTCTACCCTACAATACTGCTTTTTCAAAGGAATAAATTCTTTTGTTCAGTTTAATCGGACATAAGGCTCAGGGAAAACTATTTTATGCATATTAGTGTACGGTGCTGAAAGTATAAAAGATGACTAGTCTGTGACATCACAGTCATCTTTACTCTCCTGATGTCGTAAGGGACATAAGAAAAAGCACCTTATAAGCCTAGATGTACTGTCTTCAAGAATCTCCATGATTAAAGTGTTCCTAAGAAACTGTCCTTATTTCTTTCCATCCCTGATTTGTGTGCACGCAGCCGTTAGTTGAGGGTTCTCCAATTTCAGTCCACGATATCTGCCACATTGCTGTACCTCTTGTACTAACATAACCGTTTGAACCAACTCACTATTTTAAAAGCTGCCAATCTTAACATGCCACCCTAAATGAGCGGGTCCCCTGTGAGGTGAATGAGTAGTCCCAGCTGCGCTAGCTAGACAGCAGCCCGGGCAGCGAGGCGGCGCTGGGGTCCCTGCGCTGAAAGGGATGGTGGGTCTGCCAGGGAAAGTGAGTCCTGGCCGCAGCACACCGGCCCACCTGGCCACCCTCTGAGGTGCGCCCCACCACCCGGCCTCTGCGGAAGGGCTGACCACCTGACGGAGCCGAACCCGCGCGCCGGACCGCACCATGCCCGACAGCGCCAAGCCAGACTCCGCCGGTCTGCGGGGCGCAGCAGACGAGGTCGAGGGGCGGGGCTCGGAGGCGGACCCGAGCCGGCGGGGACGCGCCTGGTGACTCGCAAGCTGTGGCGGGAACCGGCCGCAAGCCATGAGGCCACGCAGCCAGGGTCACCACGGCAGCATGGGCCGCCTCCAGACCAGGATACGCCCGCCCCTTGCCCGTCCGACGTGCGCACAAGCGGTTACAAGGCTGCCACAAGCGCGCCCCCGAGCTTTTCCCGCCGTTACCTCGGACCGGCGCAGCGCACGCGCGCCACCGCCAAGCAGACAACTAGCCTCTGCTGTCGGCGCGTTCGTCCCGCCCACTGCCCCCACACTTTTAATTGAAACTCTTCTTCAGACTTCCCCTGCCCGCAAGAAAATGGACTCACCCACATCCGGGAATCCGAGGGAAAAGCGTGGGGATTAGTGATGCTGAGGGAGTGGCCTCAGGAAGCGTCAGCCGCTTGTGCTGGATAGCGGTAAGGGTTTCCAGCGACCCCGGTCTAGGTCTTAGGGGCGCAGAAATGCGTTCGTTCCTCAGTGTCAGACTTTCCCTTATTCCCATCGGCTGAGGTCGTCACTTTAAACTCATAGCCATTTCCCTTACTGCACGTTGCGTCGGGAGGAAAGGGAATTGGGTGGCGCCTCCAGACCTCCCCATTCGCGCTTCCACGTTTGGCACCTCCTGCCTTTGGCCGGAAGCCGCGGCTGACGGGCGGCCTCACGTACGGTGCTGACGGTGGTGGCCTGCGAGGCTCATTTCTAGCGAGGAACAAGGCTTTCCTGCCTTGACCTTGTAAATACATGTTTATAAAGCTGTATATATAATACATAGAGATTGATAAGACATACTCCTGTTCCGGGAAACGCAGGCACCGCGTGTTTGGAAAGAAATACAGCTGGGCTGTGTGACAAGCTCCCCAGTTTGTGCCCTGCTGTGTGCTCAGGGAACTGTGCGACCCTAGGAGGGGTAGGTACCGGGACCGCGCTCAACCTGGGGTTTGGAGGCGGCCTCCTACAGGAAGCTCCCTGGGACCTAAGATTTTTAGACTGGGTTCACTGGAATAAAAAGGAAGAGAGAAAAGAACATTGCAGGCATTGGGACTGTAACGTAAGAAAAGTTTGTTCAGGACACAGTGGTCGTACTGTGTGACGAGTACTTGGGACGGTGGCTGTGCCCTGGGCATTGATTGTCTTGATGCTTCCAATCCATCCGGTCCCTTATGAGTGAAGGCACCTTTGCGTTTAACCCTGGAAATGGGATGTTGACCTCCAAGAGCTGACGCCTGCGTTGATCTTGAAAGGAAGAGTAGCATTAGTGACGTGGAAAAGGGGGTTTTAATTGCCAAGGCTGGAAAATGTGACACGGTTGGAGGTGTTTGGAGAAGGGACAGGTGAAAAAGATTGAGGCCAAACTGGAAAGATCTAAGAAATCATGGGTAAAAAATGTACCCGTAACATTTGGAGACAATAATACCTGAATAGTTGATCACAAAGCTGACCTAGCTTGTTTAGAAGATTAAGTTAGGACAAGAAACAAGAGTTCAAGGATAGAAGACCTATGAAGCTCAAGTGATTTGAGAAAATTTTATTAAAAGGTGGAAAATCTGTGTGGGCCTGGGGAAATCAGATTTGGATCAGCTGAGGAAAGTGAGAAGGGTATCCCAGGAGACAGAGCAGCAAGGACGAAGGAGTAGCAGCAGGAACGTGGGGAGCTTTTGTAAGACAGGGACTTCAAAAGTATAACCGAAACTTCATCTTGCTTTGAGTTATCCACTGGGTAGTACTGGGTTAATTACTGAGTATTGGATTAATTAAGGCCTCACCTGGCTCACCAGTGATAGAAGTAGCAGGACATATTTTGCTGAACTTTTGCCCAGATCCTTATCATGGGGGTAAGAACCCTTTCCCACACCAATTTGTGTACAATTTTTGCCAAGGAGTAGGAATATCTTGCAGTTATCCTATGGGGGACATCTGTGAGCCATTTTTACAAAAGCTTCCACCTGCTTTGGCCCAAACCTCAGCATTCTTAAGCACAGGAGCTCATGAACATACTGAGATAACACTGGAGTATACCAAGGGACCAACTACAGACCTGACACAAATCCTCAAGGCAAGACAATGTCTGAAGTTGAGCTTGTAAAGGAAATGGCTTTATTCCTTAAAAGAGCATCCAGGCTGAGCTCTGAAAAGAGTACCTCCAGGTAGTGGGTTCCACCCTGCTTCCCCAAAATTGCTTCTTCTGTGAGTCTCCATAGTCTCAGAAACTGAGAATACCTTTGGTGCCAGTGGCTTCCAGGGTTTTTGGATTGTCACTTAGTAGCAGGGAGCACCCATAGGATGATGCCTGTGATGAGTCAGGGCCCAACTTTGGAAACAGGGAATCCAAAAGTATCCTCCAGGCTAGCCAGCTTTTTGGATTAGATTATAGCAGTTTTGGAGAAAAATGGGGTATCAGCCATGGCCAAAGAGCTAAATAAGCAGCCTGACCATTTGGGCCAGAAATTGAAGGGAGTGTAACGTTAAGAATTAGAGGAAGGAGCTACCCCATAGGGAAGCAGAAACGAGAAACGAGCAATGCCAGGTTCTACCACTGTTGTTCACCTAAAAGTGCTTTGTTCAGATCTCAGCCAGGGTGCTGTTTTAGGAAAGGAAGCAGTTTCCTTTCCAATGTGTTCATGTGGCTCCTGTGCCTAAGAATGCGGAGGTTTGAGCCAAGGGCTAGAAAGGAAACTTAGCAGGCCATTATCAATCAGGGACTCATCAAAGGCATCACAAACAGGAAAAGGTGAATGTTCAAGTTAGTAGAGAAGAGCTACATTTGGATGCAACATATTCATATTTCAGGGCCTCAGTTACGAATGTGTTGTTCTCCTGTCACACTCTATGACACTGGTCTGTCAATTGGGCCATGTCTGTCCAGCAAACACTATAAAGTACATATCAGCTGGGCTTGGAGAGAAGAACTGTGATCAAAGTAGTCACCCAGCCCATATGAGAAAATGAACCTCTTTCCAAAGATGGCCTCAGGCTAAGAAGCCTGGAGAATCCTAATAGTGGGTTATACCATCTCCTCAGTCTTCATCTTTAAGAAATAACCTCTTTGGCTTTCAGAATTTGACAAGATCAAAGCTGCAGGAAAATGGACAGTGAGGTTCAGAGAGATGGAAGGATCTTGGATTTGATTGATGATGCTTGGCGAGAAGACAAGCTGCCTTATGAGGATGTCGCAATACCACTGGTAGGTTATGATTTGAGCTGAGGTTGGGTTAAAGGTATTGATCTGGCAGTAACTAGTGGAGGAGGGATATCAATGGAAGATAAACTAGTGTGGCAAAGAAATCAAAGCTGTGGAGTTCTCTAACTCTAGAAGTCTCTGGAGAGCATCTAGTCATGTGTTTTATTTGAAGAAAAATTGTGGTTCAGGGAGCTCACATGGCCAGGCCAGTTAGGAGTCATGCCAGGATAGATCCCAGATTTTCTGAGCCATGTTCTGTCCACCACACGAAAACCAGAGAAACCAAATAATAAGAGTTTAATGCACAAGATGGGAGGAGCAAGAAGCAGCAGCATATGAGCTCTGTTTCTTACTTTGCTGCCTGTGGCTCATCAGTCCCTTGTCATTTTTAGAAACTCACATTCTTGGAGCATATACCTATCTTAGGATCCCTGGAAAATATTCAGAAGATACCTGGGTACTCTTTTGCATTTAGGCCAGCAGCATTCTGGAATACTCTTCTTTATCTTTGGAAAACCTGCTGCAAGGAGTTTGTTAAACGTCATGTAATAAGTGATCCAAAAGTTGTTTATACAAATGTTTATTAAAAATCCCATTTATGTCATAGAGACCTAAAAAAAGGAAAACAAGGGACTTTAAAGCATGCCAGCTGCCCTGAGAAGAGTAGTTAGTATTAAATAAAATATAATTTACAGTTAGAATATCTGCTGCTGCTGTTTCCAAAGAAATGAGAGTTCACCCATATTTTTCATTTAAGAATAAGACATAGTAATATGTTCAATGAAAAATATACATAGCAAACAACAAGTCATAGCTTAGTTCAAGCCTAGGAAAATAGTCAAAAGAGAGAGCATAATAAGAATTATAGGTGTCATTTATTGAATACCAGTTTTATGCCATGGACTGAGGTTGAAAATATACATTATCTCCAATTCTTAAAACAACTATGTGACAGAGGTGCTATTATTCCCATTTTATAGGAAAAGAATAGGATCAGAAAGGGGAAATTGCCCAAAGTCTGGTAGCAGATAACTAGGACTTCCTATATCATATGCCTAGGTCTGGGAAGTTCCAAATCCTGTCTTGTGAACTTTTGTTCATTCATTTATTTGACAAGCATTTTTTTGAAGCCTACTGTGTGCCATAAGACTTTGTGAACATAAGATATCGTTCCTGCTCCTGAGGAGTCTAGAAAGGCAACATTTATAGATAAGTAATTATAATAATAAATATTGTAAGTGGGGGCATGAACAGCCACATCATATAGGAAGTGGCTGATTGCCTGGTGGGCATCAGAAAGGCTTCTGAGAGAATGTCAAGTTTAAGCTGGGTCATAAGGAAGGACCAGAAGTTTTGTGGAGGTAGACAAGGGTACTGCAGCAGAGGGGACATATGTGTAAAGGCCCAGAGGTTTGAAAGGCTTTGGGAGATGGTGAGTCATTCAGTGTGGATGTAGAATACATTTGTCACATAAGTAGGCTGAAAAGTTGGGCTTGGATCAGATTGAAAGTGGTATTTGATACCACACTTAGACCTCATCCTCAGGATGAATGGTCTTAAAAGCAAGACTGGGCTGGGCACAGTGTCTCACACCTGTAATCCCAGTGCTTTGGGAGGCTGAGGCAGGTGGATCATGAGGCCACCCAAAGCGCTGGGTGTGAGATGAGGAAACCCCGTCTACTAAAAATAGAGAAATTAGACAGGCACGGTGTAATCCAGCTACTCAGGAGCCTGAGGTAGGAGAATCACTTGAACCCAGGTGGCAGAGGTTGCAGTGAGTCAAGATCATGCCGCTTCACTCCAGCCTGGGCGATAGACTCCATCTAAAAAAAAAAAAAAAAAAAAACAAGAGTGTTATGCTCAGATTTGGCTTTTGGAAAATCAGTTTAGCAGCATTGTTAGAGATGGTGTGACATGGAGAAAGGAGCAATTGAGACCAATTGACAAGCTATTATAGTGGTCTAGGCAAGGGAGGAGGGCCTGAACAAAGTCAAGAAAATAAAGGAGACATCCAATTCTGGAGAAGTTTACCACACAGACTGGGGAACATTTGTGTGGCAGGGGATGAAGGAGAGGGAAGTTTCCCTGCTGACTTCCAGGTGCACTTGGCTTGGCCCTGCTGCTAATTCATACCTTTCACTTGTCTTGTGATTCTAAGGCTATGTGTATGCCAGTAAGGTTTGCTGCATAACAAATCACCCCAAAAATTGTGGCTTAAAAGAATAACTGTTTATTTCATTATTGTATAGCTCAGCTGGGAGGGACTTCTAGTCTGTGCCAGCTCGGTGGATCCCTGTCGGGCCTGCTTGTGTTGTGCAGGCAGCCAGCAGACTGTCTGGAGGCTGGGTAATCTAGGTCTGTCTCACATCTGGCAGTTAGCAAGCTGTCCGCTGGGTGATGAGGTGACTAGGCCATGGTCTCTGGTATCCAGCAGGCCGGCCCAGACTTCTCAGTCTCAGGGTTCCAAGAGCAGCCTGAGAGGAAACCATAGAGCTTCATGGAGCTTAGGCCAAGAACTGGCCCACTGGCATTACAGCTTCATTCTTTTGGCCAAAACAACTCACAGGGCCAGTCCAAATCCAAAACTGGGGAAATAGATTTCACCTTTTGATATGAGTAGCTGCAGAGAACTAAGGGCATTTTTACAGTACACCATAACAGATGCATTGTGTTTATGATACATTTATTTTTGTTTCCCGGTCATATATGCAATTTTATATGTTGGCATTTATTGCAAAGAACAATAGACACCAAATGAAAGACACATTATTTTAGAAAGCATACCACAGATAGGAAGAAATTAAGCCAAGTTGCCTGCTTCTGAATTAAATAATTCATTAACCAAGGACCTAATTAATTTTTGTCATCTATAAGTAATTATTAGGACTGAACTTTCTTGTTAAGTTTAAGATAATATATTACTGCTTTACAATAAATGATAGCTCTTTTCAATCTGTTCAAGTATGTCTGAATCTGTCTTATAGAACAAGATGTATGTGATTCAAATATAGATAAGTAAATATCATTTAATTTATATTGAGCATAATTTTAAAGGGGAGAACATATTCACATACTGAAAATTAGAATCTAGTGGAAAATTTTAAGTCTGGATATTACCTAATAGTTTGCTAACCATGAAACAAAACATAAATTAAGATAATTGAAATATATTGGTATCAGTGAACTCTGTTACAAAGTAGAGCTTCAGTAGTAATACAGTAAGTAATTGATTCCAGATTCTACAGCAAGTGTACCCCATGACTTAACCATTTTCAGAAAATTACTGGTAGGGTGTGAATTGGTCACTTGTGTTATTTTGTTTCCGTTCTCCACCACTAGGGGGAGGTCTCATCTATTACAGTAGTTGCATTTTCAGTATTTCCTGCGCCACCTCCATTTTAATTATAATACAGATGTGGGAGGTCCAGGGTAATTTTTTTTGATACATTTCTTGTGTCTAAGGAATATGCCAACAAACTAGTATTCTTTTAAAGCACATTCCCCCAAAAGAAGATTTAGTATTGGCTCTTCTCAGTGTTCCTAGCCACTACTAATAATAGCAAATATTCCTTGAGCACTGGATACTCTACACAGTGCTCAGCACTTATCTAGATTACCTCACTTAATCCTTACAGCAGTCCTATGAAGTGATGGCCCTTTTTTTCTCCCATTTGCCAAGGAGGAAACAAAGTCCCCAAGGGTTTGTATACCTTGCCCAAGTAACCCAGCAAATGGGAAAGTTGTGGTCTTGTATCCTAAGTTGGCTTCCAAAAGCCTCTGCCCTTAACCCTTCTCCCACACTGCCTCCTTCACAAATGTCAGAGTCAAAATGCCCATCATCCCCTACTGAAGAAGGCCCAGGCCATGTTTGAATGATACTTCTGATATTTTTCTCACATGTATGATTTCAGCTCTTTCTTTAGAATACGTGTATCAATGATATTGCCTGTTCCTAGGAACTCACAAGCTTTAATTCTAAGTGTTCTTGAGTTCCAAGAAAATGCAGAATAAATTGCTGTTCCGAATTTCCATTGTACCTTTTCAGAATGAGCTTCCTGAACCTGAACAAGACAATGGTGGCACCACAGAATCTGTCAAAGAACAAGAAATGAAGTGGACAGACTTAGCTTTACAGTACCTCCATGAGAACGTGCCCCCCATTGGAAACTGACACTTGGCTCCTTTCTTGCTGACGAATTTTCTAAAAGTACACAGATTAAAAAATGTTTTGTTTCAGTCTCCTACTTCAAATCTTTGAGTAATAAATCAGCACTCAAAAATGTATACCCTTTTAGTTTGTGGTAGCAAAGTACAATGTGAAAATGTTCACCAGAATGAGAAATAGATTTCTCAGTAATGCTGAATATTTGGCTCTTTAAAAACTCTTCCTTGAGTAGCTTGTATTTGAACATGATTAGTTAAACATTTGCCTTTACCTCTGATTTTGCTTTGCCGTCAAAGTTTAACACCTACCAGCTACTTAGGTGTGTCCTGTAACACAGGTGATTGGAGGTATGAGAGGGAAAGGCAAAGAAAAAGGAAGCAGACACTAAGAGAATTATTAACTTCTCATACTCCCCCACATTGAGAAGCATTCGGAGTGGATTTAGCCTGTAGTTGTTGTGATATGCAGATATTCCAATCTTTGGTTACTGGCATTCCTAAGATTCTTCATGGTGTTTTCAAACTTTGGATGAATTTACAGATTAGAAAGATAGCTGACAGTTACCTCTGTCCTCCCTACAACTTCCTTTTATGCTGCTGGAAAGGATCTTTGGCTAGGTGAACCACTAGTTTTATTCAGTAATGGCATTTCTTATTTTCTCAAAGCCCGTTCAGATATAACCACACCACTGTGGAATCAGCATTTAGTTACATATTTGTATAAGAACCTGTATTTTGAAAAACACATTCATGTATATTTATTTCCTGGAATTATTTGCCTGGTAAACAGTGTTTTTCATGTTCTCTGCCTAGATTTAAACTCTGTGAGAAGCAGCCCTGGCTGCTTGTATCTGTATCCCTTGTTGAAACTCTGAAAATACTAAATAACTAAAATCTCTTCTCATCCTTTTTATGCTGGGTCTTTTTGTTTACCTAGCCTTTAGGAGGAAAAGGTACCTGAAAAAACAAATGAGCTTATTTCATGTTTTCAATCAGAAACATAATTTTCACAGCTATCCTATAGTGCAAACACATCCAAGCTGATTTCTTCTCTCCGCATCAGTAGTTCTCCCTGGAAGGCATTCATCTTCAGAATCAAGGCCCCAAGGCACCAGTCCCTTCAATAAGCAAAGAAAGACAACCTAATAGAAAAGAGAATTATGATGTTTAAAAAATAAAATTATACCAACAGGAAAAGCTTTTCAAACAATTAAAGTACCTAGAATGCTACCATTCTTTCACATTCTTGTGAAATGGAGATTTTATAGCTTACCTGTGGTATGTAATCTCTCAGACACTAACATCTAGGAACTTGACAAATGTTCATGTGAATTCTGCCCAGCCTTTCCCTGGAATATTAGTAGGCCAGTAAAATATGAAAGCTATTCTTGATTTCTGCTGAATCAGAATGTGATGCCTGTAAGACAGCGGCTGGTTTGTGTCTATGACACTCATCTTAGAACTGCCCCACCCCCAGGAATAGCCTCTTTGGGCAAGTTCGTAACTTGCATTATGGTGCCAGAACTGTAGCTCATCGTATCAGGAATTAGGTGACCTAATCTGGGCTAGTCAGATTTTGTCAACGAGGGCTTTGAAATCTATCTAGGACTGGCTTGAGGAGATGGGCACAAGAAATGCTAAGTTGCTGTTACAGGGTAGCTTTCTTCAACCGTCTGTACCAAAATACACAGAAAGGAAAGTCTCTGCAGAGGGAGACCAAGAGGCTGTGTGACCCACTGGTCTTGCCAGCCTTCCAGGTCAGAGCCTGCGTATCGCTTTTCTCTGTGGGAGGCACCATGCCTGGCACTGGAAATGTAGCAGTGAACAAAGTAAGCATGGCCTCTGCCTTCATGGAGCCTTTAGTTGGGGAGATAGGCATTAAACCAATAGCCATACAAGCACATGATTTCAATTTGGGGCATATGCTAGGAAAGAAAAATAAAGATGTGACTTAGGTTGGGTTCCCAGAAGCCAAGCCTGAGGCAGGGACTTCTTGTGCAAGTGATTTCTTGAGGTGCTTTCACAAGAAACCTGCGAGGGAAACAGGATAGGGCAGGGAAAGAAGCTGAACCAAGATTTGATTTGAGCTGAAGTCTAGCTTCCATCTGATCCCATGTGAGTTCTGGACCATGAAGACATTGAGTTTTCCCACCTTGAGGCAAGGGATTAGGCCTTTGTACTGAGTATGAATTGGTCAGTCATTAGCTTGGCCCCTGCCACAATTCCCCAGTGAGAGCGAAACCTCCCAGGTATTGCCAGGTGTTGCGCCTCTCCAGAGGACAGTACAGCTGTGAACCTTTGGCAACCAATACACAGTAGCTGGGAATGGGTACCAACAGTGCTACTGCAGTATAGGAGAATGTGACTGGACGGAACCTGATTTATATTGAATAATCCAGGGGAGACCTTGTGATTAGCAGCTTTTATAGCAATTTGAAATATTAATTTTGTCTCTGAATTTTTTTCACTCTCCAAGGAAGTAACCAGCTCCTGTGTGCTTCTCATGCATGGCAGGAAGCGGACATGCTTAATAATGACCCTAGCCCTTGTTTGGGAAGCAGAGGAGAGTGGGAGAGAAGAGGGTCTGCAGACAGGAGCCTCAGGAGTAGTGGAAAGCCGTGTGCCACTTGTTTGTACCACAGTGAGATGGTGAACTTCAGAGTTTCATGGTTTGTTGTGTGCTGCAGAGGAAACCTGCACCTCAACACTAGGTCTTCCAGACAAGGCAAAGACCTCCGAGCTTGGAGCCACCTCTTTTAAGGGCCTCCACAGACTTGCCAGTGAAGATAATAGCAACGACCCAGATAGACTGAAGAGTGGAGGTCTTTACCCATTTTTCCAGGTCATTCATGAGTATCCTAAATACTTGCAAGGCCTTAAGAAGGGGAAAGGACGTCCCAATGACCACAGAATTAATTTCTGCTTGCAGTGCAGCAGAATGAGGCCAGATGGACTTAATTTGCTTTGAAGGAAAGAAAATGTGCTATCTCTTGTACCCTCCTTGAGCGTGTGAACCCACACCTGAAGGATGGGTAGTAGTAGCAAGGGAAAGAATTGGGAAATGAGGATTGCTTACGGAAAGAGCAAACTGCATAAAGCCAGGAGGTAGGACTGGCATTATAAGCAAGGTGGGTAGGCAGGTGTCTGGTTAAAAAAGTTTTTCTAAGTTATTGAAAGGTTCTAACTAGAGAGTGGCCTGATCAGATTGGATTTTTTGAGATATTTATGTCACTTTGGAGGTAAGAACAGAAGTGGAAAGACAAATGAGAAGAGCTTTGCATTGGCTCAAATGAGAGATGATGGTGACTTGGATTGGCAAGATAGAGCTAGAAGTAGAAGGACTTGGAATATCTGTTCAATATGAGAACAGATGGAATTGCCCAGACTTGTCCGGTTTGAGCACTGCCCTCGTGACCCAGGTGTTAGATCTCTGAGCAAGACACAGGACTGAAGATATAGCCCCTATTCTCTAGAAACAGGGTCTGAGTGCAGGGTATGCCCATCCTTTGAAGCCCAACTCAGACTCACATTGTAATAGTATCGCAACAATGACACCATGGTTAATCAAGCACTTCTATGCACTTTACACACATGAGTTCCAGCCGTGACATTCACCCTTTAGGTAGATAGCATTGTCGTCATTGATCAGGAGATGGTGACTTAAATGACTTACTCCAAGTTAACATTAAAAGACTTATTCCAGGCCGGGTGCTGTAATCCCAGTGCTTTGGGAAGCCAAGGTGGGCAGATCACCTGAGGTCAGAAGTTCGAGACCAGCCTGGCCAACATGGTGAAACCCCCGTCTCTACTAAAAATATATTAAAAACAAAATCAGCTGGGCATGGTGGTGGGTGCCTGTAATCCCAGCTACTTAGGAGGCTGATGCAGGAGAACTGCTTGAACCCAGGAGCTGGAGGTTTCCATGAGCCAACATGGTGCTACTGCACTCCAGCCTGGGTGACAGAGAGAGACTCCGTCTCAAAACAAAAGCCGTATTCCAAGTCATTCAAATAGTAAATGAATTCCAGCCTAGGTTTTCTGATCCCAAAACCCATGTCCTCTCCCTGGACCATGTTACCTTTCCTGTAAAACTTTCTGTGACGTGGGAAGAAAATCCTATCAGAATACTTAGAACTTTAAAATATGTACCTTGTTTCTAAAATTGAGACAAAGAACTAGAAGCATTTTTAATAGGAGTATGGGAGTCATGAAACATTTAAAGATTCAACCTTTTATCAAACTCATATATAATGTTGTCACCATAAGTCCTGTTGCCACTGGGTTTTATACCAGATAAATCTGCAGTTTCAGATTTTTGGTGTATTGGAGAGGATAGTTTAATGTCAATGCTACAATACCCAGTAGGGGGCGCCCAATTCCTTTTAGAAAGTTTGAATCACTGACTCATTCTCTGCTCTGAACACCGAAGATTCTGAATACATGTGATCTTTTGCTTGAAAGTGATTCTGGATACTAAGATTCTGAATACATGTGATCTTTTGCTTGAAAGTGATTCTGGATACTTGGGCTGCCCAAATATGCTGGGTAGGGGCTTATGTGAGGAAAGCACAGTCTCCCTGGGATTCTGGCCAGCCAGGCTTGGACTGGGCAGCTCACCTAATAGGCTTCTCACTCATGCTTTGTTGGGGGGCAAAGTGAGGGCACCCAAAAGGTGGGGGGAGCAGTTTAGCACTTTGGTTAAAAAGGTCTAGAACCAGGAATTTTGCCCACCTGTGCCCCGAACTTATAGTCAGACCTGGGGCCCTTTCATTAAGCTATTTCCCAGATCTTTGTATTAAATCATTTGGATAATCTAGGCATCATCCAGGAACAATCCATTAGGCTCTAAAATGACTATTTTTCTTAAAAAAAAAAAAAAAAGAAAAAAGACTCCTAGGATCAGGAGTTCACATGCAGGTTTGTTAATACGGGCACGCTCTGGTCGCAGGAGTTTGGTGTACAGATCATTTCATCACTCAGGCACTGAGCCTAGTACCCAGTAGTTATTTCTCCTGATCCCCTCCCTCCCTCCACCCTCTGGCTCTCAGCCAACTATTATATGTACTCTATCACCCTGGTCACAGCAATGCAGTTGTCTCAGAATCGAGCCTCTGAGTGCTGTGAGGTGTGAGAAGCACAACTACAGAGCTGGGACTGATGAACCCCATTCGTTCATTAGTTCTGCTCATTACTATAAGGATTTCCACCTAGATTTTTATTTTAGTTTACCAACTGGGTTGAACCATATGAAAAAGCTGTTTTTATAAATCAAAAATAGATAAATGCTATTTCCTGTGTTTTCAGATAATATTCTTACCAAGAGCCAATTGTGCATGTATACAAAAACACACATAATACACATAAACTGGATTTGACGGGGGTGGGAGGGGGACAGGCAAAGGGTGGAGAGTTTGAAAACAACCAAATGACTCCAAAGGAAGTGGCGGAGAGGTTGACGTACAGACCCATCCCAGTTATTCCACGCCTTCCCTGGTGACTCAGATCCCCTTTATCATGCTGCTACCACTCAAGGGCAAAAGGGGTTTTCCTCTGCCCATCCGTGCACTCCTCTACCTTCTTGGCATCTCTGCCTGTGCCTCCTACCCATCTGTCATCTTAGTCTCCAGCAGTTCCCCTATTCCCCTCCACCATGCCGACAGAGTGGTACTCACTCTAAGTGGTACACAGTCTAATGGGGCAGGGCTTCTAGAGGGAGAGTGAGGTGGCTGCATCCCTGCCTCTTGGCCAGTGAGGATGCCTGACACCTGTGATTGACTAAGACCCCATTACTCAGCCATGCAGCCTCCCTGTACTCAGACAGACAGACAGGAGGCGTGGGTCTTCCTGATGAGGCTCTTCTTCCTGGCCTCATTGTTACCACTCTTGCCTCCCAGCCTGTACTCTCAGGGAT